TAAAAAGTATACATCACTAGTGTCAGATAAAAACAACTTGGCAAGACTATACGCGAGTATAGATAGATATTATTTCCGCAGTAAATTCAAACGGACTGATTCAGTCTTCAATATATCTATTGGTTGAGCATAAGCGACGTTGCCGGATTAAAACTTATAATATAATATTTGAAAGTATTACGTAAAGGTAACGTCTCCAGGGTACAGTCTTGCGAACAAATTATGACTTAGCTACAAGCTCGTATACTTTTACGGTGCGTATAATCTAAATATTTTTGACAATATTGTACCACGACGACTACCTTAATTTGAGATTTGAATATAATTTATTGCTTATCTGCAGATGTATGTTTTATACCTATGAGCAGCTGCATAGGGTTCATTCCCTCTCAGTACGTAAGAAGCCATATTATTATTATTAATTTCACTACACGTTGCAAGATAGATAGTGTATAAAATTAAACTTCAGCGTCATAGTATATGTATATATAATACTTGTGGTAAATTCAGTGGCGGATTGGGGATTTTGGGTATACCAATATCTCAGTTATTAGACATGGGACCCACACCAAATTTATAATAGTTTATTATGACATTAAATAGACAAGTTCGGCGTAAACAGAATTTAAATTGAAGTTTGCGAAAAAAAGTTAGTTTTTTGTGTCGCCTCACCTGGCTTCTGGCCCCCCCATTTGGGATAATTCAAATTAAAGTGGTGCAATTTATACTCCATTATAATTTATCGACAAATTTAAAATTTTATTTAAAAAATATAAATATTACAGATTTTATACGATTTTAAATTTTTATTGTTTATTTTATTATAATAAAAAAATATTTAATATGGTATAAAATCTGTAATATTTGGATTTTTCAAATAAAATTTTAAATTTACCGATAAATTATAGTGAAGTATAAATTGCACAACTTTAATTTGAATTATCTCAAATGGGGGGGCCAGAAGCCAGGTGAGGCGACACAAAAAACTAACTTTTTTTCGCAAACTTCAATTTAAATTCTGTTTACGCCGAACTTGTCTATTTAATGTCATAATAAACTATTATAAATTTGGTGTGGGTCCCATGTCTAATAACTGAGATATTGGTATACCCAAAATCCCCAATCCGCCACTGGGTAAATTCAATTAACAAAATAATTATATGCACAGGATATCGCATATATTGTAATTCATATTAATTATTACACGAAAAATTACAAGACCTTGAAATGGCGAAAATAAGAGAATAATATTTCTGGAGGATAGGTTAAAAAGGGACGATCAACAAGTAAAAGGGTTTTTATTTTTTGTTGCGAAAATCCGGGTGAAACAAGTGTCAATTTTCTTTTACCCCAAACCATGTCAAATATTACGAAGTAAATCCGGCAAAAAATTGCCAATGATCCTCCCTTACGATTACGAAATAAACCGTTGTTGATGTAGGGTGGAAATCTGATAAAAAAATGTATGTAAGGAAAATGTTACGACGTATAATTTGTATGTTTAAGTAACAGGTGAAATTGTCCAAAATTTAATATAAAGTGCATATATATTTTTGCATTTTTTCGACGTTATTTTATAAATAATTCAAAATGCGTAGGTATGCAAATAACTCATTAACAAATATCGTATACGCATAATGTTGGTTAGTCCAGGAAGTAACTTATGAAGGCACAATTAAACGGTAGGATAAAAATTTCATAGGTGAACTCGAAGCGGTCACATCCTGGTTATTTACATGCACAACAAATGCACAAAAGATTCGGGTTTTGTTACGTCGAAAAGCCCATTGAAAAAAATGTTTTTGTACAATGCATTAAAAGTGTGGATTTAAAAAGACCAAATATTTGGATAATGATCACCTTAAATGTACCTATTCCATGAAATTTGTGTTACATACTAATTCTAATTTAAATATTTTTCTTAGATAAGATTTAATGAATCACAGATAAGCAAAATTGGTTTTTATAAAAATCTGAGCACCGTGATTTTTATATAAAAAAATTAATAATTTTTAAATAAAGTATTGTTTTCATTACAAAATGTTTAGGTTGTTTTTAGAACATCATTTTTTTCGTGGAATATCGTAACGTTATAAAAAAAATGCATAATATAAAAACCTTATCTTGTCATTATAATTTCACAAGGACGATGGTATCGAATGTAGTTTTTTTTAATAAATATTCAACACAAATATTCGTTAAATAATATATTATGTTTCCTGTGAGAAGTCTTTGAGATTATGGACAAACTTTAGGAAATTATAGAAAAAAATACCTGTTTGAACTTTGGTTAATTTTGAAACTTCCATCTCACCACTGTAACGATTAAATTTATGAATATAAGAAATACCTGTTTGAACTTGGGTTAATTTTGAAAGTTCCATCTCACCACTGTTATGATTAAATTTATGAATATAAGAAAGACCTGTTTGAACTTTTGGTTAATTTTGACAAGTTCCATCTCACCACTGTAACGATTAAATTAATGAATATAAGAAAGACCTGTTTGAAGTTGAGATTATGGACAAACTTTAGGAAATTATAGAAAATAATTAGAGATTCCAAACCAGTATTATAACCCAAAATAGCATTAAAATGTGATAATTAAAACAAGGATTAATTAAAAAAACCTTGTCGAGGAATGTTGGGCAAAAAAGGGCATAACGCTTTGCGATTGGCGAGCAGGTATTGAAACAAAACACTCGTCATTGGTCCGACGTGTGTCGGGGGTGGCGGAAGCGATAAACAATGGAGAGCGCGGGCGGCGGGGGGAGGGGGAGTTAACGGGGGGGCGGCTACTGCTCGTCCACTTTTTGCGTGCAATTATAAAAGTACAGTCCGCGACAAAAAAAACCGCCGCTGCCGGCATCTCGCAGTTGTCATAGCGACGCGCGGTACAGTTGCGGCACAATTTCGCGAAACACACGACCCAACCGCCACACAGTGATGCCAAGTCTACAATTAGTTAATTCATTCTTTTTTAATTTTCGACATTTAAATTTGAAATTGTAAAAAAGTTAAAATAAGTTTTTGAAAAATTTTGTTTTAGAATTTCTTAGAAAGACTAAAAAGTATTACAAAATTGAAATCTACGATGTCTAATAGCGGTTGTTATGGTTACAACTTAAATAAGGTTTAAATCATTTTTGACAGTTTGTCAAGAAATCTAAACTTGAAATTATCATAACCCATTAACAAGTTTTAACTTTCTATATTTAAAACGTTATTATAAATACAGGGCTCCCACGGTTAAATTACAAATTTTATTTAGAAATTTAGGTTTTTTGTAAAATTTTAGAAGAAATAAAGTAGGCAAATAAATTTCTGTAATTAAATAAAAACAAATCTACACTGTACTTAAAAAATAAATAATTCTTTTTAACAAAAATATAAACAAAATTTGTTAACTTCTTTTATACAACTTACTTAGCTAACTAGTTTTTTAGCCTATATGTATATTTGGCTAAAAACTAGGCCAAAGTCAAATGATTTTATATTTATATTAAAAAAAATGTTCATAATTAACAATAATTTTAATGTGAATCTTGATATTCTAAAAGTTGTATGATAGAACAAATATGAAGTTTGCAAAATACAGCAACATTAGATTGTTTACTATTTTAGCTATCATTTAAAAAAATTAAAAATCCTTTTGTTTGATATACAACACGGTTAATTTTTGTCGAAAACAAATATGACAATTTTGTAAAAGTGGATTTTTTTTAGGTATATTTTGATGTTTTAAAAAAAATGTAGGTTGTGATATATTATTAAAAAAAAATTTTTTAGCACAACTCCCAAGCAGCATTTTAACTATAAGAAACTACAAATTTACTACCAAGTCAACTTTAAGTATCTTTTACGCGTAATTTACGTAAAAATCACGCCATAATTACTAATTACTAATTACTAATTACTGTTTGCTCTCTCTTTCTAAAACATTGACATTAGTAATTTTTTTGTTCTTTTAATTTATATTTTACAAAATGGTACCTACAAAGTAATAAAGGCCACCCTAGAGTAAAATTAAAAAATATTACTTAAATTGTCAAAACTAATAATATTTTGCATTAAAACTCAAACGCACGTTTATTATTTATTGTTAAAAATATTCACGATCCATCTTAAAAATTATATGCCCTCTAAATATTTTACGGTTTTAAGAAAAATTATTGCTTGGGTAAAAATTCAACAAAATAGTTTTAATCATTTTTTAATAATTATATTTAAGAAAAATATTTATGAAAAAATATTATATAAATGTTTAGATAAGTAATGGATGACATCTTTAAAAAAATATATTTTTCACTTTAAGCTTATTTTTCCTTGTTTAGTCAATATTAATAGTATTTATTACCACTAGTAACCCTAAAAATACCAGGAGAATAGGAATTATTTACGGTTACAAAGTGGTCTTAATGTGGTAAAATTATGATTTACGAGTAATATTTACCATTAAGTAAAAATTATGACGTTAAAATTACCGTTAAATTTTCCTTTAGGTGAAATACACCTAATTTTTTTTCGTAAAAATTACGTCCCTCATAATATTTTGAAGTGTTGAAACTTAAGGGTTATTAAAATAGGTAAAAATAACATAAATAAAACTTATTAAATAACTTTAAAAAAAAGTTTTACTTCAAAGTAAACTTTTTAGGTTAATTTAACAAGGAATTTTATGAATTCTGTAAATAATATTAAAACATACTCATATTTTGTGTTATAGGTATTCATTTTCTTAATTCATAATCCATCCAAAGTGAAATATTGCAAAAAAAAATATAAAAACTATTTAGAGATAACTGTGCGACCCACCAGCAGCCCCGGTCGGCGGCGGTGACAAGACAGGTACACTCGTCGGAATATCGATCTTGTAATCAAGACTTTTACCCCACCACCGCCGCCGCCGCTCATTTGGAATGCGTGAAAAGGACCACCCCAAATTGCCAATCAAAAGTGCACGAAACAACAAATTTTTCCGAATTTACACTACTACTCACATTGGTGTTTGTCGGCAAGCTGAATCAGCTGGCTCGGTAAATCTCTTCTACGGTAAAAACACATCACTTTTGCTTCCACATTTCCCGACGCCGTTTTGTTCAGTTCCTCGATTCGCCGGATTTGATACGGAGACGTCGAAGACGTCTCGAAGTACACATAATCTGAAACAACCCCATTGCCAAGTCAAAACAATGCCCAAAACATAAACAAACAATGCCGACATTTCGAAGGACCAAAACATAACAACAGTTCATTATACTACCAGTTATCTAATCGTGTAATTATTATACAACGTAATGTCCACGTATTTCCCTAATAATTACATACTAATAGATATCATAATAATAATAATAATAGCATATAAATACAAGCAAAAACAATGAGTTTGTTAATAAAAATTAAGGGGCTTTTGTTCATTGGTGGTAAGCACCTGGTATCGAAGATTGCTTTGACTTGTAGGTAATTAACATTTAATTACATACATCATGACATTTATTTATAGACTGTGTACTGTAGTAACAATAGTAGAGTACCACAAACAACACTAAAAATACTAATTGCAATGCAACTGGTCTTATAATGAACTCAAAGGAGATTTTGTCTGATTAATTAAACGTGATAACACAGATTATAAAGGAAGACTTCCTCAGGAGCGAAGCCGGCTCGAATTTGCTCGCTTACCTCCGACACGGTACATATTGGCTGTCATCTTCGCAACACAAAAACAACACTAAAGTCTCACACGGGAACTACGCACATTTTTCGCGGAGGTATCGCGTGCAACGTTCAATGTTTTGCCAGCGCCAAGCTTGCGGACGCCATTTTCTTTCTCGTATCAAACTCCCTGTTGGCGTCTGGGCCATAAAGAATCGCGTACGGCGGACGGACGGTTCTGCGACCGGCAGCGCCAAAAGAACTGCGGCGGCCGATGCGATAAGCGCGGCGACGGTAATACAGAAAACCGGCAAAAAATCGCGGAAAAATTTTTGACGCGAACGTCACAACATAACCTGTACTTTGCTTCTGTCATAAGTCTTGAAATACTTGATTTTTTTGCCTTAAATTAATTAATAAAATCAAGAAGCTTTCTTCAGGCAATAATACGTCACAACATAACTTCTGTAGTAAGTAAAATACAGTTTTTTAGATTTTTTATTAATAAAAACATAAAGCTGGTTTTCCACCAAACGGACAAAACAAAAACAAAACACAAACTCGTGTCGAATAAAACAAAAAATGTCATAATTTTTTAATTATAATTGGACCAATAAGAGCGCTCCCGGATAAACGGACTAACGGACAAACGGATACATGAAAATTAAGCTTAAGAGGTCTATCATCGCTATTTTTGATTTTTAGTCATAATTTGATGTTTTAAATTAGAAGTGTTAAAATCGAAGATTTCAAAATTTCAACACATCGATTTATTAAGCTCAATTACTCGGAAACGGCTCGTCTGGCGAAAATGTTCAATCAGACCTTTTTTGTAGAGAATTTAATTTTATATAAAAATAAGTGAAAAGGAATTTTTTTCACTTCAATGTTTTAACACTTCTAACGTAAAACATCAAATTATGACTAAATATTAAAAATAGCGATGATAGACCTCTTAAAATTAATATTAAGGGCTCAAATTGTCAATTTTTTTGGCCCCGTCTAATATATATATAGATTGGTCTTTTCAGATCATGGCTGAAGGTGGTAAAGTTTCGAAAAAACAGTGGACCACTGAAGAAATTAGTACCTGTATAGATGCCTTCAGGGAACACAAAAATTTGTGGGACCCAAAGGATGTTAACTATAAAAATAGAATTAAAAAAATGGATTCATACAAGGAAATTGCCCAATTGTTTGACACCAACTCGATGGAAATTGAGAGAAAAATAAAAAACATAATTTCACAATATCAACGTGAAAGAAGGAATTATAAAAAAATAAAAACATCTGGCGCTGGTCAGTGTTTTAGGCCCAAGTGGTTTGGTTATAACGCAATGAGTTTTATGCATGACAGAAATAAACCTAGAAAAGGCGTAAGTTTTTTGTTTATTCTTAACTTAAAATTTAAGGGTATTATTCACAAAAAAAACTAGTCGCAAATGTTAACATAAAAATGTATTCTTTGTAATTATCTTTTTATTTATGCATATTTTAATTGCCAGGGTACTTGTCCTTGGTCTGAAATTAAATATTCACAATATTCGTTTCTTATATTTTGTGCTGCTTGTAAAGATTTTCTTGGGCACCTAAAATAAAAAGTATATTTCGTTCTCATTTAGAATTTAATTTACTTTTAAGCAGATTAGCATAAAATTACACAAGTTTTTCGTATTTTAGGGAAGTGAATCTTCAGATGAAGAAATTCAACCAGAGACCCAAAATTCTTCTGACATCCCAAGTGACATTGAAGGTGAAAGTGAAGAAAAACTTAACTCCGCTATACCAACGCAAATTAGAACGCTTTCAGTGCAAAAGGCTTCAAGCTCAAACAAACCAAAAATTGTGCAAAGTGAAAATCAGTTTACAACACCAAAAGTAAAAACCAAAAAGAAAAAGAATACAAATATGGAGCAGGACGGAGAAAGCAAAGAAGTATTTCATAATATGATGAAATCAATATATGAGAAAAGAGAGCGTGATGAATATGATGTTTTTGGAGAGATGGTAGCTCATAATATTAGAAGCTTAAGATCGGAATACTTAAAGATTACCGTGCAACAGCAGATTTCAAATGTATTGTTTGATGCTCGCAAATGCCATCTTCCACAAAGCAATTCACAATCTTTTACACCAGTGCCTTCACCTTCCCCAACCTTATCTGACAACACAGCAAACGGAAAATAGGATGACTCCGCGTTTAAATACTAAATCTTAAAGTTTTATCAGAACTGTATTGAATCGTGCTTTGTTTTTATATTTTTTGGTTCTATACCTATGCACGACTATATTTAAAGTCAAACTCAATGGTGTCTTACAAGATATATTGTTTTGATTTTCTATATTCAACAGAGAGGTAGAAACTCGACCCTGTCGAATGGTGCAGTCATTTATGTCTCTAGAAATTATTAAAAAAGGGTTCAGTCCAATGGTGCAGCAACTTCGGATTCCTATTCTCTTCAGAGACATAGAAACTCAAGCTTTTCGAATTTTACTGGCAATGATTTTCGTTAATGTCCCCGAGAATTATACAAAAACAGCGCAATGCAATATCGCAACGGTTTCGACTTCTCTTTACTCTACCAAGTTATAGAAAGTGGAGTCTCTCTAATACTGTTCTAGTCAATATTTCTGAGAGTATAAAAAGAGGGTGTAATATTGCAAGAAGTTTTGATCTTTTGTTGGATGCAAGTAGTTTGAATTTTCTCATTTCTGCATATGATTTTGTTGAAAATAGTTCCTTTCTTTGGTTCCTTTGTCTGATTTTTATTTATGTAAAGCACAGAGAATATGATATCATATTCTCTGTGCTTTACATACCTGAGTTGTTACGGTAAATAAAAATCAGTAACATATGTTACTTAAGTATATTTATGTTTTATGTAAAGTACCTATATTTGTATTAAAAATTTCAGAGGTTATGTTGAAAAAATTATCGATATGCTAAGTATTAAACTTTAATAAAATGCACTGACGGGTTGAAGTTGGCTTTAAATTGGGAAAAAGTGAGGTTAAAATCGTTTGACAGATGTCAAATTTAAATTAAGTTAGGTTAAAACCGCATGACAGTTTTCAGATAAAGTCGTAATATTTGCTTTAAATTTTTAAAACATTACTTTGTGTTCGTTGTGGATAAAGTATGGTATACAAAAAAGTGAGGTTAAAACCGTTTGACAGATGTTAGATTTGAATTAAGTGAGGTTAAACCCCTTGTCAGTTAAAATGTCGTAACACTTGCTTTAAATTTAAAAAAAATTACTTTGTTCATTGTAGATGGAATATTGTATGCAAAAAGTGAGGTTAAAACTGTTTGACAGATGTCAGATTTAAATTAAGTGAGGTTAAAACCGTTTGACAGATGTCAGATAAAATGTAACACTGGCTTTAAATTTTCAAAAACAATACTTAGTTTCCTTTATATATAAAGACTCGTTCATAATATTTAATAAGGGTTTTCTGGAAGAAAAAACTAAATAAAACACGTTTTTTATTATAAACTTATACAATTTATTCATCTGTGTAATAAGTTAACTTAAAAAATAACAAACATAACGAAAGGTAGTTGAGTATTTATATCATACATTTTAAATATTCTAAAAAGGTTTTGGTCCGTGAATTGTCTTGTGCATTAGAAAGTCCAAAGGACATGGTACAGATTCAGGCGACACCATACGACATTGCAGGTGCACCATGGACCCAACAAACAGTAAAAAAAATGCCAGAGTTATGCCACCCATAATAAAAAGAGCATATGGGCGACTCCTGAAAAAAAAATTGTATTTTTCACATTTTAATTTTTTTCATTGTGAAATACAACATTGAATCAGAATTTTATAAAAAAATATTAATTACTGTATATGCTTTACATTATAAAAGGCGTCCCTGAAATTCCTGTACAAAAAACACCCTGTATAATCACATAAACAATTGCACACAAAAAAATACTTAATGAAATTTTAATAAGCACTGAAAAAAAACATGCAGAAATAAAAAATTACTCACAAAGTTTTACAAGATTGCACATGCATTCCTAGGAAGAGGTGGCCTGAACGAAATTTCATTAAATATTAATGAAAATGGAAAAAATTAAAATTTTAAAAATATACATACAGAACGCCAGAAATAATTTCTGAACCAATTTCTTATCTCAAAACACCTGCAAAATTAAAGTGTTTTTTATTTATTTTTGAACCCTCTGTATGTATTTTGAGTCGCGGTTTTTTATACACCTAGTTTAAAAAATTAAAGAAAGATATACACGGTGCTGTTCTGAGAGGCGATTTTTGGACTTTCTGTTAAACCTAATTTTTTTTTATATTCTTGTTAATTAGGTCATAACTAAAATTTTAAGAGCAAAATAAAAAAAATTTGACGGTTTGAATTGTTTTAATTGGCTGTTTATTAAACATATTATGCACTCTTTCAATTATCCAATTAAAACTAGCGATTTAATTTCAATATTTAATATTTGCATAACTAAAAAAAGGTTTTTACAATTTTTTTATATATATTTTACTGTTTTGTTGCAATAAACGTTCAAACTTTTAATCTAACCTTTGACGTATACATTTATGTTCCCTTAATTAATATAATATCCTTAAAGGTTGCCATGAAACTTGGATCTATTAAAAATTTATTTGACGTTTGAATTGTCATTTTCAGTATACCTACGTATTCTATAATTTTTGTTTAGTTTTTTAAAGTGTTTTTTATAAACAAAAATGAAAAATTGTAGTAAAAGTTACGAAGAAATTCATGAAATTTAACTAAGGACCGGTTTATTCATCTTTAGTAAAGTTTATCGGGCCGATAACTTTCATGTCTTGGCAATATCTAGTATCCAAAGAAATTATTCGTCAAATAAATCAAAAATGAATAAATCGGCCCTAAATAAAATGTGGCACCCTTAGAATTATTGTTTAATAAATGTATACTATACATTTAACCTTAAATTAAAACTTTAAACGTGTATTACAACAAAACAGTAAAAGATATAAAAAATGTATAGACCTTTTTTTAGGAAATTAACTAATCTTTAATCTGATTTAAAAAGTTATGATAATATTTAAATAAAATCGCAAGTTTTAATTGGAGAATTGAAAGTGTGCATACATATTTTTAATAAACATCCAATTAAAACAAAATTAACCGTCAAATTTTTTTTATTTTGCTATTAAAATTTTAGTTATGACCTAATTAACAAGAATATAAAAAAAATTAGGTTTCACAGAAAGTCCAAAAATAACCTCTCAGAACAGCACCGTGTATAACGCGCTTTGTTTTATCTTGTTTTAAACTTAAAAAAGTGAAAAAAATTATAAAGTAAAGTAAAGAAAATCCTACCTTGTAACTTCCCGAGTTTCTTGGGCCACCCGTTCAAGGCTTCGTCTGTCGCGGGAGGATTCTTTGCGCATGCGCGCAGTCTGCGTGGGCGAGTCCACCATTTTGACGGTGGACTGCGACTGGACCTGGCGCAGCTGCGCCGTGTAATTCGTCACGAGGTTCCAGCATTTCGTCATGCGCCCCTCGTAACTCACCACGCCGTACTGCGCGCAGCTGGTCGCAACCAGCTGCACCAACTGACGCGCCTAAACAATTGATAACGCACGATTTTTACGTGTACAACCTCAGAACTATTATGGCACGCCGTTTTACTTTTTAATGACATCAAAAAATTAACTCAAAACAAAAATTGACTAGAAAATATAAACGTTCATAAAAATTACTAAAATAAATTTAATTATAAATTAAAATCTACAAATTTATTTTTTGGTGTATCAGATAAATTTCCATATATATTTACATCATATCTATATTTTTGAGCCTCAGTTTTTATTGTATGAATATTTTTTTTTATTCAAATAATACCATTTCATTTATGAATTTAAAATTAAGTTAAAGTAGAATATTTATTTTGGAATAAAAATTAGAAAAGATTTAACTCTGTAAGAGCAAGAGGAATTTTTTCGATGAAAAATTCGATGAATTAAAATGTTGGTTATCACTCGTAAACAGAATTTTAATTTGGCGCTAGTGCATAGTGCGGTTGTGTTACGTACTACTGCCACTAAGCGAAATCACATAACGTCGAAGGTACATAAGCTCGAAAATAAATTAGGCAACAGTGCAGTCCAAAATTTTCAGTGCTATCAATAATGTATACCTACATGGTTATGATTATTAAATTATGTAAGGGATGCATTTCAACAAGACTGTACAGTATAAATATTCCACAAACTTAATTAATGTAATTAATGGTGGATTGAAAATATTGTATTGTTTTTTTAACTTTTAGTCAATAAAAACCAATATTTTAGTAAAAAAGATTTTCTTTATTTGGATTTCAAAAAAATTAATTAAAAAATTAGATAAGAAATTAAGGAAAGCAAAACAGATAAGTAAATAAAATGGCAGCACTGAATTTGAATGCACTGTTGCCTAATTTATTTACGAGCTCATGTACCTCCGACGTTAAGTGATTTCGCTTGGTGGCAGTAGTACGTAACACAACCGTACTATGCACTAGCGCCAAATTAAAATTCTGTTTACGACTGATAACCAACATTTTAATTCATTGAATTTTTCAGTCAGAAAATTCGAGGAAAATAATATTTATTCCAAAAAATAAAAATAAGGAATTATTATTCTGCCACACACAAGTAGCATTGAATTTATTATCTAAAAAATAATCTGATTAAAAGAAATATGACAGAAAGGTGCTTAAATAAATATTCGTATTGCTAGATTTAAATAACATAATAATTAATAACAACTATATCACAACTTTATTCCCAACAAAATAATTCGTATAAAAAGTAAATATTAAAATTTTTAAAAATAATAAAAATAAAATTGTATTCAATTTTTATTAGTCAAATAAAATTTTAAGTAATATTAAAAACATTTAAAGAAAGAAAGAAAGAAAGAAAGAAAATACGTTTATTTTGAAAAATCCAGAGAGTGCACGTTAACACTCTATACGGATTCATCCTCTCACAACAATACAACAAAAATATACAAACAATAAAAAATAAAAATATAAAAGTAGTAGTAGTAGATATTCATTTCACATTTCGTCATGTTTTAAAAGCTTAAGCTAGTTTCTATACTATAGATAGGTACATTACATGTTTGATAATGCAAGGACGGAAAAGAGAATAAAAATAAAATAAAATGACAATACCCGTTGAAACACCCTAGCTTGGAAGTCTAACCCGAGGCGTCCCCCAAAGCCCGAACAACAACCATCAGTGCGGTCTGAGCATAGACCACACTGGTGACCATTACAGCTCAGACTCCAAAAGATATCTCAAGTCAGACTCCAGAAAACATCTCAAACCAGACGTAAAACCCCTAATGTGTTTGTTTCTGATTTCAATAGGCAACGCATTGTAAATATTAAAACAAATATTTCGTGCAAAATATTTGTGTGTCGAATAAGAAACTTTATCACTTTAATTTCTAACAGGTAAATTGATTTTTATGTCGACGAGTATTGCGACATACTGATAATTTCAGTATTACTTTTTCTTAAATAAATGTTGCGCAACTTGAATTTACTGGCTAAAATATTCGATGAATTAAAATTTTGGTTTACATAATTTCAATTTGACTGCGTGTTTCTCCAAGTAGCGCCTTATTAAAATTATCTCAACCAAAATTTTAATTCATGGAATTTTTTAGTCAGAAAATACGCCATTCAGAATTAAAATTACCTTAATTCTTATTCTGTGCTTAAAATTGTGTACTCAATATACCAAGACATCATAAAAATTTTACTTTAAAATGTTCAGTCAATTTTTAAAAAAGCAACTTGAATTAATATTTAGCTTTAATAAACATGACATTAAAAAGTAAAACGGCGTGCCATAGTAAAATGTATCATAAAAAATAATTATTATTATGCCTAGACATAATTATATAAATTATATTTCATAATTTTAAAAAACCTACTTCAATTTTCTTTTAAATTTAAAAAATTTAAGATAAAAAGTGAAATAAAACTACAAAAAACTTAAAAACTCCACTTACCTCCTCTACTATAATAAATATTGGTTTGATTGAGTCCGAGGCCCCAATGCACTTGTGGTCTCTTAACCGGAAATTTATCTACAATAAAAAATAAAAATGATGATAAGTAATGTCGAAAAAATTATCGCCATGTTTACTTCTTTCAGTAACTTTAACATTTTGTCGTGGACTTCTATGCACTGCTCTTTCTGTTTTAACCGCCTTTCCGGGTAATCTTTTGAGTCTATTGCAAGCTGAATGACTAGGGTTGTAAACAGGTTTTCGGTTTCTTCTTTCGAAAAATTTGTCCTATTAAAAAACAGTCCAATATAAAAATTGGGCGACATTTTGCAAAAATTGTCAATTACATTGTTTTAACATAATAAAATACAGGGTGTACCGACATTGGGGCCATACTAAACCATAAAGCGAGAGAATACGTAGATTTAAATTATCAAGCAATTTTTTTTTATAAAAAGTTTTGGGCGCGAAACAAACAATTTAAAAAAAAAAATTGCATTGTTGATTTTGCCATTTTTGTAATTATAAGCTAAATTTAAACAAAATCTGGCAACTTTTTTGACAGAATCTAAAACGCTGCTTGTTACCAACCATAACGTAATAAATTTTAATATATTACATTAAAACATAACACCCTGTATACGATTTATTTTTTTCCTTCAAAAAGGGGAAAACTTTTGGTACACCCTGTATTACACAGCAAAAAACATTTAATCACGAAAAAAACTGTAAAAAATTTTTGGTGAAAAAAATTGCAAAATTATTAATGCATTTTTTTCACAAAAAAATTAAAAAACTGTAAAGAAAAAAATCCTTAAATTTAAATGTAAAAAATAATTAAAAAATAACTCACAGTTCGCTGGTTTCGTGAAGACCGAGTTTTTCCAAAAATAAATCCGTCACGTTAGGAAAAGGTTGTTGCAAATCGATATCCGAACAAAAATTCTCCAAATCGTCAAGCTGAAACCAGCAAACAATAAAAAAAAATCAACATAAAAAAATATTATTTTATCCGAAATCGGCAGTAAAGTAGTCAACAATCGGCAGTAAAGTAGAACTTTACTGCCTATTTAATACGAGTGTTGTATGCAACCCATTATACATTTTAAGATGTGTCTACTGCTCCTCAGCAGCAACTAAATGATATTTAAGAAAAAGCACCGTCGCGGAGGTCATCAAATGTTGTTTTAATAAAAATAATAAGTTATTATACTTAGACACTTCCTACATTCAAATGACATTTGATTTGATCATCAAATGAGATTATTATAATATTAATTATTAGTATTATTAAATGTGATTTCGGATAAAATTTAATATGCACCTCTGCATTAAAGTCATTTTTTATGACTCACGTAGTTATTTACCTCTGCTAATAATTTCCACATTCGTGATAAAAAAATACTACTTTACTGCCTTGTTACAAAAATAGCTAAAAAAAAATATATTTTTTTTTGTACAAACCTTGTTGAAGTAGTGACTGTGATCTCCATCGGCGGTATCGAAACTTTCTTCGAAAGATTTCATCCAACTTTCGCATTTCACTGCGTCACTGTCCGGACTCTCGGGGTTTTTGTTCTCATTTAAATTCAACTCCGCATCCTCCACGTCCAGGGACGGACTATCGGGGCTCATCGGGCGACTTGCGATAAGCCGCCCCGGCCTTAAAGTGAACCGTTTCAACACTTTGTTGTGGGAACCATCACTAGTTTTTTTCAAACAGAAATCTATATCTATATGGGTGAGTTTTAAGTTGATGCGTTTAAAAATCAGATAAACAAATAAATATTTTAAGTAACTTTTTTATCAAAACTCAAAAATAAGAGAGTTATAGGCCTTCCAAGTTTAATTAAATTTTGAGCCGGTCCTGGCTATTGTTAACAAAAAACATAACCGTAAAAATAAAAATAACAAAATAAACAATGCAAAATGTCATCTATGACAACAAACATAACCATTTAAATCAAAATGACATTTAGCAATGAAAAATGTCAAGTTTTTTGTGCCTCAATTATTGTTATTAAAAATGGCTCATAATTATCTAAGATAATTATAGCAAAATGCAAATGCTGCAACTTAAGTAAATAATGACATTTTTTATTTCAAAATGTCAATTTGATTTAAATGGTTATGTTTGTTGTCAAATATGACATTTTGCATTGTTTATTTTAATATTTTTATGGTTATGTTTTTCGCTAACAATAGCCAGGACCGGCTTAAAATTTAATTAAACTTTGATGGGCTATAACTTTTTTATTTTTGAGTTTTGATAAAAAAGTACTTAAAATATTTACTTGTCTAGCTGATTTCTACACACTGTTAAAAGGAACGCGTCAACTTAAAACTCACCCATATCTTTGCGAAAACCTTGGTTGAAATTCATAAATTTGGTTGGTGTAAAAATTTCAACTAAAGATTTCTTGATGAGGATAAAAAATTGGACAAACTTAAAAATGATTATAAGGAGGAAAAAAACGCATTTTTCTAAATTTCTCAATAACCCAACGCATTAAAATATCGTAACTTACGGAACTAAGAATCGGTTGTCCACTTGTTCAGCTTCAGAATTGGTGGCATCGTTCAGATCCATATGTTTTGGAAACCTAATCGCCTAAAATATTGTATATTTCAAAATAATTTCCTAAAATGTTTTCTATTAAACCTGCTCCAAATCAGGTAACTGTTCCCTCTTGTGAACATAATTGCTTAGATACATTTTCACTTAAAATTTCCGTAGTATAAATAAAACAGTAAAATATAGCAGAAAGTTTGGTATAGCAGTAAAATGACAATTAAAAATCTATCTGACATTATATACTGTAAAACTAAATCCCCTAGAAAAATACTTACAACAATTTCGAGGAGAAAAACTGCCACTTTTATTTGTTTTCCCAACTTCTTAACTTCCACTTCCACATCGGCGGTGTTTTCGTTGAAATTCCCTGCGGTTACTTCGTTAAAAAGTTTGTCGTAATTTTCGTTGTACGAAAGCAAATCGTCTGTTTTGCGTAGCACGTTTAGAACTTTAACCAGAATCCTAAATAATAACGAGTCGATAAAAATAGAATATTGATGAATATGTGTAGGTGTTAAGTAAATATTTATGTAGGAAGTGAAGCTTCTTTTGGACAATTTGTTTTTACCTAATCAATAATTATTATGTATGTATGTAACATTATTTAGGATATCTTGAAGAATTTAATTTTTAGTGCTAACAATTTTATTTGTTTGATTTATTAATATCATTTTCATTAGAAATTGTGACATTTGATTCTAAAGTAGATAAGAAATAAACATATTAATAGTTAAGCTTTTCCTGTTCATGACATTATATTTGATATTGTATTTGTTTTATATGTATGTACATATATATTTTTTCCAACCGTGAAAATTTATTCGTATTTAGACAGAATTCACCTCATGTGTATATAAACAAATTTGTTAAAAAAATTTGTAAATCTTTTTTTGTCCAACCAATACGGTACCATGAGGAATAACAAATTTTTCCTAAAATATTTAATTTTTAACTTATGTGCGAATTGTCCTACAATTTCTAGATTTATGCTAATGTGCGAATTTTGTTGAGTATTTTAATAAGACGCAAGAATATGCGCGCGCCTTTTTCGTTTCATATTTTGTAACGCCAAAATTTTGGTCAAAAAAACAAAAAAACTTTTTTTTTAATTATTAAGAAATCATTTACAAGATTTAAAAAAAAAATTATTTAAAACAACTCATAAAAAACATTTTTTTTAATTATGAAAAAACTTTTTTCTAATCTTCAAAAAAAAAAATTGGCTTCAAAAACAAAATATATATTCATATAACACAATTTATTTTAATTATTAAAAAAAATTGGTTTAAAAAAAAACAACGAAAATTTTTTAAAATTATTAAAAAAACACTTTTTTAATTATTAAAAAAATCATTTTTTATATTATCAAAAAAAAAATTGGAAACAAAAAAATCCTAAAAACTATTTTATTTAATTATTAAAAAAAAATTTTTTAATTATTAAAAAAAATATTTATTTAAAAAATACAACAAAAATCATAAAAACAATGTTCTTTTAAATATTAAAAAAACATTTTTTTAAATTATCAAATTAAAAAAAATCGTCTCCAAAAATTTATAAAAAATTTCTTTTAATTATTAAAAATTCTTTTTTTTTAAATTAACAAAAATATCAAAAAAAATTGTTTTCATATTCATATCTTTTTTTAATTATTAAAAAAGCATTTTCCTTAAATTATCAAAAAACCAAAAAAAATGGTTTTAGAAAACAAAAATCATACAAAAAATTCCTGTTATTAATTATCAAAAAAAAATCATCAAAAAAAAATTTGGAAACAAACAAATCCTAAAAAACTATTTAATTTAATTGTCAAAATAAAAATTATTTAAAAAATACAACAAAAAAATCACATAAACAATTTTTTTTAATCATTATAAAAGCATTTTTTTAATTATCAAAATAAAAATAAAAAAAAATGTTTTCAATGAAAAACACAAAAATATAACCATTTTTTTAAATTATTGCAACAAACCTTCTTTTAATTAAAAAATATTGAAAAAAACATAAAAAACTATTTTTTTTGAATTATTAAAATTATTAAAAAAATGGTATAAAAAACCATAAAAATCATTTTTTAAAATTAAAAAAAAAACAAGAAAAAAATTATTAAAAAGCATTTTCTTTAAATTATCAAATAAAATGATTTTAAAAACAAAAAAATCATGAAATTTTTTTTATTATTAAAAAAACCTTTTTAATTATGGAAAAAATATAAAAAAAAATTATTTTTAATTAATTAATCAAAAAAAATTGGAAATTAACAAATCCTAAAAAATTATTTTATTTAATTATTAAAAAACAGGATTTTTAATTTTCAAAAAAAAAAAAATTAAAAAACAACAAAAAAATCAATGTTTTTTTAATTATTAAAAAAGCATTTTTTTTAATTATCAAAATAAAAATTATAACCATTTTTTTTTAATTATTGAAAAACCCTTCTATTAATTATGAAAAAAAAATGGTTTAAAAAAAGATTTTTTAATAAAAAAAAAATTACCTTCCCAATTCCTGTCTGCCGCTCAGCAAAACTCCGTTCCTCCCTTTCATCTGCTCATCAAACTTCAACACCTCCTCCCTGAGCCTGTCGACTTTCCCTTTGACGCAGTTCAACTCCATCTCCGACGTTTTCAGCAGCCCCACCGTGCCTTTCAGCTTCTCCTCAGCCTCGTTGAGGCTCTTCAGGTCTTCAGACTTCCCGGAAACCTCCGCCAAGTCCCGCCGCGCCTTGCAAAGCTGCTCCCTCAGCGAATCCTCCTCCGACATGAGAGAATACTTCTCCTGCGTCAGCTGAGCGTTCTGCGTTTCCAAGTCGCGCAGCGCGGTTCGATTCTCGTCGAAACGCCGCTTCAGATCGCTGTAGTTCGCGTACAAATCCGCCGTCTCCTTGCCGCGCAGCATCAGCCTTTGCTCCGCGATGTTTTTGTCCGCTTGCAGGTTCTTCAAGTCCACCAAGTTTTTCTCCAACTGCTTTTCCAAATCGGTTAATTTTTCCTCGACTTCTTTGGATTCGTTGTTTAGTTGCATCAGTTCTTCCGATTTTGCCTTCAAGACTTCAGCAGATTCGTTCTTTAGTCTCATCAGTTCTTCCGATTTTGCTTTCAACATTTCTTCATAGTCGTTCTTCAGTTTCATCAGTTCCTTCAACGTTTTCTCGGATTCCTTGCATTTCCTCTCGGAAGCATCCAATCTCTTCAAGGTGACGTCCAGTCTCTCTTCCAGCCGGTCAATTTTCACCTGTTGCTTCCCGAAATTGTTTTTGTGGAGACTCGTTTCGCTGGACGTTTTCTTCACGGAATCTTCCTTCTTCATCCTGCTCTTCGCGAACTCTCGACTCGTCCTGAGTTTTTCCAGCTCTTCCACGCTTTCCTTCTGCCGTTTGGAAAGCTCCTCTACCAGAGCCTGGATTTTTTCCATCGGGCTTCCTTCCAAGAGATCGATGTTTTTTCCTTTGCTTAGTTTTTCGACGATTTTAATTGACAGGTTGTTGTTATTTTCACATTTAACGGCGAGATTTTCCAACTTCTGCAACCTCATTAAACCGTTCAGGTCTTCTTCGAACATCTTCGCCAGTTTGTCTACGACTTTGTCTATGGTGTTATTGTTCTCCTCCAGTTCTTTTTTAGCTTCCAAATGCCTCTCCTTGTGCGATTCCAGCAGAAGTATCTTGCGATCTTTTTCCTTAACATCGATTTCCAGCACTCTAACCGACAAGTTCTTTTCTTGCTCCTCCTCGATCTTCTTCTCCAGGGATTTGAGCAAAGCTTCCTGGTTCTTCACTATATCGCTTTTGTCGGTGTATTTTTCCTTGAAGGAGTCTCTTTGTTTCGCCATTTCTTCTGACTGAACTTTCAAGTCGCGGTTTTCGCCCTCCAACTTTTTAATCTCGACCCAGAGATCGTTCTTGAGGGAGAGGTCCTTCTGCAGGCGATCTTTGAGCCTCAAAACCTCCGTCATTTTGTTTTCCACAGCTTGCTCGGCTTGCAGCAAGGATTGGGCGAGTTTTTCCTTAATCTCCATTAACCCGGCAACAAGGAGCGATTTTTGACTCAAATGATCTTCCAGCTGCTTCATGGTCTCCATTATTCGACTGTTCACGTTGGAGAGTTCCTCCTTGTTGTCAACGGCGAGGGAAAGTTGCGTTTTTAAGTCCGTCACATTACTTTTCAGCCTTTCATTTTCATCCAAAAGATTCTGCAATTTGAGGTTTTTCTCGTATATCTCCCCTTGCAGCTTATCTTGGAGTAACTTCTTCCAGTCGGCGGTCGATTTTATGTTTTCCAGCAGTTCCGCGATTTCAACATTCTTTTTTTCAAGTGCATCTTTAAGATCGTCTATTTCGTTGGTCAAGAGTTTCAACGCGCTATTCTTCTCCTCCGTGGTTTTACAAGTGAAGTTTTCGAGGTTGCGTTTCAATCTCTTATTGTCCTCCTCCAAGCACTTCAAAGCCTCGTTTTTCTCGTTGATTTTCTCCTCCAACTTTTTACTCAGATCCTCGAAGAACAAGTACTTCTCCAACTCGCAAGTCTTCTCCTTCAAACTCTCTATTTCCAGGGTTTTAGCCTCGATAGCCTCTCTGAGGGCTTTCACGTCTCTGTCCATGAGTTTTATTTTGTTTTCCATTAAAACTTTGTCGAACGAAACTTGATCGCGTTCCGTTTTTACGTTCTTTATTTCGGTGGTCGCCTTGAAAAGATCGTACTCCATGTCGGATTTCGCCGACTCCAGATCGGCAAGGGTCACTTCCACTTCGCACAAATTTTTCTGCAGATCCAATTTCTACAAGTACATTAGACGAATATTAGAAATATTTCTTGGGGAATGTTTCTAATATTCGTTTTACCTCCATTCTTAGTGAAGCGTTTTTTTCCTCCAAAACCGCCAACTTCTCCGAAATATTGCGGTGATCGTCGAGCATTTCTTTAAGATCGCCGATGATCTTGTCTTTTTCCTCGATAGTCAAACGGCATTTGCAACCGAAACCGTCTTTCACCTGAAGAAAAAAATAAACGTCGATATGTTTTTCCCCTAAAATATTACTTTTTACTTTCGAGAATTCCGCTTGTAAAGAGTCGCGTTTGTTGAACTGAGTGTCGATGATTTTGAGGAACTCCTGGTGACGAGTGAAGGAATCATCGGCATCCATGAAGAATTGATCCCCGTCACCTGCCCCTTCTAAATAAATAAATAAATAGAAAAAGCTTTTCAAGCAAAATTACAGTGTTTTGGTTGTGTTGTTTTTCTGTAATATATCCTCATACCTGGGGTTTTAAAATTACCGGAAAACAGTTTTTTTTAAACCCCACTCATACCTTCAGAGAAAATAAGACTCCTGTTGGCATTGTTAGTGGCGCTGGCGCTCTTAGTCAACACCTGCCGCCTCAAGTTGAGACCGTTACCGTTCTCAAGTTGCAACGACAAGTTTTCGGTGGACTTTGCGCGCCAAATCGGTATGGGACTCATGGTGTTGGTCGGTGGCGTGATGGGTCTTTGTGGTGGCGAGAAATCGTTGGAAGTGTAGGTGGGATAGTTACTGAAAGCCTCCAGGAGATTTTTGTAGATGAAGCTGGGCGAGTTCAGCTGGTTTTGGCGAGCGTTCTCGTGGCCTTGTCTGTACACTTTTAACTCCTGAAACAGCACGTGATACAGAACTGTTTCTTGTTGGGTTTTCTTTGCATCTTTTACTTTCCAAATTGACGATTTAAAACCATCACAAGCTAAATTTCAAGGAAACTTATGGACAAAGATGTGAAAGTCTCCAGGAAACCAACGAGGGAAAGTTTGAAGGAGAAGACAGTTTCAGATGTAGTCCTTTTTGAGAAAAACGTAAAATCGACTATCGGCTGGAAGAAGATACTCCAGAATAAGCTCCAAGACAAGATCTACCAGAAAAACCTCAAAATGTTACCTTCTCTTGCCGTCAACAACAAAAAGGAACTCACCAACGGAAACAACAGAATAATGGAGACCATGAAGCAGTTGGAGAACCATTTGAGTCAAAATTGAAACTTGAAACACCAGAAGGACGAAATCGATACCATTAAAGTTCAGTACGAGATGTGCATGTAGAATTTGAAGAAAATTCGTGAAGAAATCGAAGAGAAAAGTATCGAAATGGTTGAGATAATGAAACAGAGAAAAACCAAGAAGCTTTGATCAAATCTTTGGAAAGGAAAATCGAGGAAGAACAAGAAAACAAACGCAAAATACGGAATCCTGCAAGAAACTGCAATTATCAACATTCTCACCTCAATTTCACTCTCCATGCAGCTGATGAGCTCTCTATTTTGGTTCAAATGATTTTTTAAGTTGTCGTTCAACTGATTCAGCTCCAATATTTCGGTCTCCTTGCAATCCAAATCCACTTTGATGGCGTAGAGTTTGTTTTTAAGCTCTTGCTCTTTCTTGAAGCTTTCTTCATTTTTGCGGTCCAATTTCTCCCTCGCTTCCTCAATTTCTTTGACTCGATTGGACAATTTTTCGTTCTCTTTTTCGGTTGAATTTTTTTGTCGCATCAATTCGTCGATTTTTTTACGGTAACTAATCAACTCGTCCTTTAATTCTTCCAGTTCCCTGATTTGTTGAACTAGGTTTTCTTTTTCCAGTTGTTCACTGAAATTTATGAGTGAAATGATTTTTTTTTTATTTTTTTTTCTACTTACGCATGTAGTTTTTTGTTGGTTTTAACTATATCCAACTGGAGGCACTCGTTAAGCTCTTCAAAATTAGTAAGTTGGTTTCTCATCAAAGCCATCTCTGATTTGCTTTTCCCAATTTCAAATTGCAACATTTTTATACGTTCTTCGTATAAAGTGGCATCCGCCCCCACTAAAAAAAACGTTAAAAAATTTTGCCAACGAAAAATCCACCGCATCTTACTAGTTTTACTTCCGTTGGTGCTATAGCTGGAAACATTGGACAAGTTCAACAACTCCAAAGAACCGTTGAGCAATTTTTGACCGAAACTGGTCCTGGGCGTCGACTGGTTGTACAACATTTCCTTGTCAATGTTGTCCAGACGGCTAAACGCAAAAAAAACTTACAAATAAATTTTACCGTCTTCCCCCTCTTTGGTCTTACCAAGGCGATCCGCAAAAGCTCTCGTTAGCCTCCTCGCTAGACATTTTTTTGGCCCAGTCTGTCATTGCTTTGTAGAAAGTTTCACTTGATACGCTGACGTCATTGTTGTCTGGGTCCAGGGTTTGTCTTAGACACTCCAAACGAGTTCTAAAGAAAAGGTTTAGGATATGTTTTATGCAATTTAATACGATTAAAACAATTTAATATTGCAATTTGACAAGAATAACAATTTTTTTAATCGTTAGTCTTGAATGTTTTTGAATATGTTAATATAACATGTTGAATTATTTATTTAATGTAATTTTTCTGTGTGCAATATTTTTGTGACAATAATATTTAACTGAATTTTTATTTTGTAATTAAAATTATGACTACTTCCCTATATAATAAAAATTTTAGAATTAATTTTAAGAGTACCTACAGAAAAAATTATATAATTAATTTCATGTCTACACAAAAAATTAATTTAATTAATTAAGAGGTCTATCATCGCAATTTTAGATTTTTTTCCTGAGCGACTTTTTATCTCAGAACTCCCAAATCATTGAGTTTAACAAAATTGACTTGGGAATATTTTTTGAAGAAAATTAAATGCTCTACATAAAAGGTTTGATTGGAATTTCCCGTCAGATGAACCGTTTTCTTACAATCATGCCTTAAAAATTGGTATAGTTTTACAATTTGATCTTTTAACTTTGGAATTTTGTAATTCATGTAAAAATCAGTACCCTGAAAAAAAACCGATAAATATTCTAATAGAAAATCAAATGCTCTACAAAAAAGTCTTTTATCATTTTTGGCTAAATTCACTCCATCAAAAGTTATTCAAGGTTAAATTTGAAGTCAAAACGAAATTTGAACCTTGAATAACTTTTCATTGAGTGAATTTAGCAAAAAATGTTGAGGCTTTTTTTGTAAAGCATTTGATTTCCCATAAGGATATTTATCGGTTTTTTATGGGTACTGATTTTTACATGAATTCCAAAATTCCAATTTAAAAGATCAAAATGTAAAACTATACCAATTTTTAAGGCATGATTTTAAGGAAACGGTTCATCTGACGGAAAATTTCACTTCAACCTTTTTTGTAGAGCATTTAATTTTCTTAAAAAAATATTTTCGAGTCAATTTTGTTAAACTCAATGGTTTGGGAGTTCTGAGACAAAAACTTGATGAGGAAAAAAAAATTAAAATTGCGATGATAGACCTGTTAATATTAATATTATGGACTCAAACTTTCACAATAATTTTTTTTTTCACCCCAAACCATATTTTCGATATATATACATACTTTTCAAAAAAAAAATGGTTGATTTTTTTGGCCCAGTCTAATGTGTAGACATTATATTAATTATTTAATTTTATGTGTACAGATAAAATTAATTCTATAATTTGTATTATGTAAAGTCATAATTTTAATTGTAACCTAAAAATTCATTGCATTAATTTTATGTGTACACATAAAATTAATTGTAAAATAAAAATGATTGTTATTTGCAACTCAAAAAATAATAGAATAAAATAAAATAGGTACCTACTTTAAAAATCTTGTTTAAAAAAATTGTTCAACAATGTTTTTAGTCTCACAATAATTCCAATAAAAATAAATGAAAGAACCTTATATGAAATAAAAATGGACCAAATTTAAATGACGCAAATATTAATTCAACTAACAAAATAATATGTAAAATGTTTAAAAGTATTCTTTGGGTAAAATACTTCAATAAATATTACAAAATAAAAATGTATCATAAAAATAATTATTATTATGTCAGACATAATTAATATTATAAAAAATTATTGAAATTTTTTTAAAAAACCTACTTCAATTTTCTTTTAAATTAAAAAGTGAAATGGCATGCCATGCCATAACAGACTAAATAAAAAAACAAAATTTACAAATTGCAAATTTGTAACAAATTTTGATTTTTGACCTTTATAATATAGAGACACATTCTTGCTAACTTAAAAGCTAATAAATCAACTACAAAAATAAAAATGCAATTATTTGTATACCTAATGGCATTCTGAGACATTGTATACAACATATCAAGTTTACCTATTTTAACACTTTGTTGTATAAATTACCATTTTCCCTTAAACAATAGTTTGGTGTAAAGGAATTTATGCTTGGTAACTTTAGACTAATTTTCATTGCAATACAATACAATAAAATTGTGAAATATCCAATTGGAATGTTAATTAATTAAAAGAAAAAAGATCTTGGAGAATACTTGTATCCTTACTAAGTGTGATTAAAAATAACCCCATGAAGTATTTTTTGCTCTGTATTTATGGCTGTTAGGGGTAATCGACAGGAAGAATCTATTTTTAGAGAAGCCTTAGTGAACCACAAATTGCAACTTAATACCGTTTTATAGGTATCTAATTACGATTGAATACTCACAATTCCTCATTAAAGTAGGGCTTAATAAAGTCTATTAATTGGGAAACTTTAACAGAGTCTGTGACTTCCACATCACAGGACGAGTAAATTTTGACCATTACCGCCGTTATTTCCGTCATAAAATCTGAAAAATCAAATATTTGCCACATGTCTCTTAAGTTATAAAAAAAACTGCAAAAAACCTTCAATGTCCTGTTGTTTTTCTTCCATTTTTTTTTATCTCTCCGACACAAATATATTAACTAATTAATGACTACACTAAGATTAATTATAATAATAATTATTGCACATCACATTAACATCGCACCATAATCTTTCTCTACAATAAATACACACAAATGAAACGGATAAATTTCAAATTTCTCATGACATTTCTGTCGACCGGCTTTGTGTGGGACGCACGCGCACATCCAATCAACGCACGCCGTCCGGTCACGTGACGGACACAAATACCAACGACATACAACTCAATAGATTCCGCCAACCGGTTTTTACCGATAAATACAAAATTATCGGTATTTGTTGGTTTAATTGGCGGAATTTAACGTGGATTTGGCGTTTTTGAGCTTAAATGCTCTTCAGAGAGCATCAGAGGGCTGGATTTTCCTGAGGAGTGTTTTCTACATGTTCTATGTCGGCGTGCAAATCACAGAGCATAACCAATCATAACAAAGACGCAGAATCACGTGGTTAATAGTGTTTATTCGATGGGTTTTATAAATAAAAATAAATAAAAAATTAGTTCGACCATACTGTATTTAAACAAAAAGTATTCAACCCAGTTTAAGTCTGGAAATTGGTAGACAATCTACAAAAGTTTTAAAAGACGTAAAATCGCTGCTACAAATGTTGCCTTTTTAGTTCAGCTTTAGTTAAATAGATGGCGCTGCCAGTAAGACTTTGCATATAGGCATGATAGATAACCCATATTAGTAAATGGATTGCCTACCTACAAAATATTGTTAGCAGCGCTATCTATGCAACATTTTTGTTAGGGTCATAATTAGTTCAGCATATTTAAAATAGATGACACTGATGACTTAAATTTTAGTTTAAAAATTCTTCAGTAGATGGCGCTGCTACCAAAATTTTGTTTTATTACCTTAAAAAGTGTTTTTAACATTCTTATATTCTTTTAAAGATTCTGAAATGTGTTTTTTACCTTTTAACCTGTTATTTTATTACACTAAAAATTGTAACATTCCTTTAAATATTATTAGAATATTTGACATTTTTAACATTCCGAAATGTTTGTTTAAACATTTTGAATTGTTTTTTTAATACGCCAAAGAGTTTTTTTAACATTCTTTTATAGATTCTAAAATGTGTTTATTACATTTTGAATTGTTTTTTATTACTATCTAAAGCTTTTTTAGCATTCTTATAGTCTTTTAAAGATTTATAGATAGGCAACCCAGAGAAACCATATGGTTAAACCGATTGCCTACCTACAAAATATTGTTAGCAGCGCCATCTATGCAATATTTTTGTTAGGGTCATAATTAGTTCAGCATATTTAAAATAGATGACACTAATTACTTAAATTGGCTATTTTAGTTTAAAAATTATTCAATAGATAGCGCTGCTACTAAAAATTTTCATATACTTACCAAGTAAGTATATGAAAATTTTGTTTTATTACTTTATTTAAAAAGTGTTTTTAACATTTTTATATTCTTTTAAAGATTCTGAAATGTGTTTTTACCTTTTAAACTGTTATTTTATTACACTAAAAAGGGTAACATTCTTATGTTGCTTTAAATATTATTAGAAAATTTGGCATTTTGTTTGTTTTTTTTATATTTTGAATTGTTTTTTATACTCCAAAGAGTTTTTTAAACATTCTTTTATAGATTCTAAAATGTGTTTTTCGTTTTGAATTGTTTTTTATTACTATAAAAAGCTTTTTTAACATTCTTATAGTCTTTTAAAGATAGGCAACCCAGAAAACATGTTGATAATAACTGATTGCCTACCTACAAAATAGTGTAAGCAGCGCCATCTATCCAATTATGACTAAATTAAAGTTGCAATTTTTCCCATAGCGTTTTTTAGTTCAGCCTATTTCGTATAGATGGCGCTGCTTACCTAAATTTTTAATTTTTTTAGATAGGCAACCAGATTACTTAAAAAACGCATTTTCTATTTTTTTCAGCTCCAACTACTAATTTTTTAAATAATAAACGCATTTGAAAATTTTTTATTTGTTAAACACTTGACGAATTTAACCTAACTTTTAAAGCTCGTCGATGTGGAATTAGAAAAAAAACGATCTTACTTAAAACGTTTATATTTCGCTGTACAATACATTTTAGAACTTAAATTTATTTAATTAGGGTTATAAATAAATGGATCAGTTCAAAGTTGGACTCATTTATAATATTAAGTTTGGAAATTTACTTGTATCACAAATTGTATTAAGTGCCAATGTTTTATGTGTGAAATAAAAAATAAAAAAGCGTTTAATTAAAATGATAAGCACAATTAAACTTTTCCTTGCTTTGTGGAAATTTTGGGGCGATAATTAAATTATTATAGGGAAAGTTTAATTTGTTAAATTGTTAAATGGCACAGGTAAATAAACTATGTAATAAAAATGGTTACAATAATAAATCTATAAGTCCTTACTTTACACATGTGAGAAGTAAAATTGTTTCACCTAAAAAATTAGAATTTGCATTTTTTAAACTTAAAAGACTAGTTTTTAAGTGATTGTTACAGTTTACTCCTCATTTATCCTTAACTATTGTCTTTTCAAGAGATATTTATTTTTAGTAAAGAAAATATAGTTTTTATACAATTTATATCCTAAGGGGCCGTCCATAAATGATGTCACACACTTAGGGGGGAGGGGGGGTCGTCGAAAATGTGACAGTTTGTGACAGCCGGGGGTGGGGGGGGTTTGGGAGGTTGTGATGTCACAAAAATATTTTGGAATTTAATAATTAATAATGGTTATAAACTGGATATTAAGATTTTATTTTAAGCAAAAATTTCGTGGGGTAGACCTTCATAAAAATTAAATCAGTGTGACGTGACGCCAATGGGGAGGGGGAGGGTCCCATAATTTGTGACACTTTGTGACAAGTGGGGGAGGGGGGGTCAAAAATATTAAAAAAACGTGTGACATCATTTATGAACGGCCCCTAAAATGGTAAATAGTCACACTGTTATGTACAAAACGAGACAAAAGTAATGAAATAATAATTCTAATACTCCAGGAACTATAAATTTAACGTCCACACAAAAAAATAAATTAAAAAACCACATACATGAAAATAAATGAAATAAACTAAACTAAAAAATAAATTATTGCTTAGTTGAATTAATAATATTTAAATAAGCAAATAAATCAAAGTAATATTAATTATAAATATTATAATATTTTTATTACTGGACAGTGGTTTATTTTTAAGCAATAATTCTTTTGCAAAGATTATACGCATAATAAAAATAATAATAAGAAGAAAAAATTGCTTTGATGCTAAATAAATAGAATGATATGTCCGACATACTATTTACAAGAATATATGACTGTTTTTATGTACATTTGTGTCATTGGTTCTTATTGTTTACTTATTTATTCAGGCAAAATTAGATTTTTCTTTTCAAGGCACTTTTTTGTATACTTTGTACAAATTCGGTCGAATTTCGTCGAAATACAGAACAAGTCAAAATTACTTTCCCAGAAGTCTGTAGAAAGCAATGAACCAATGAGAGCGCTGCATTCCCACCGCATCAAGTGTGCTGTGGAGAATGCCGCGCTCTGATAGGTTATTACACCCAAAAAAGAAGTTTTGACCCGCCCTACATAAAATCATTAAAACTAAGGAAAGTTTAGTCCTCTTTTTATATTTATTTATGTACATAGCTTGTAGAGCCGTTATTTTTTTTGATAATTGCACATTTCGTTTCGATTTCTATGCTTTTAAGCTAGTAGTAATAAATTCTCTTCAATCACTTTGTTTTGTTGTTTAAACTCGCGCACTATCACATTTTTATTTTGTTAAATGGGATTTTCGTCGGAGAAAAATTGTTGCTGCGGATACGATGCGGTTTGCGGGGCGAAAGTGTGTTGTGATTTTCGTTTGTTTTTGTTGAAGGCACTCGCGCGGGTCAACCGGCGTGTTTCGATAGGTTTAGTGGCATATCTGTAAAACAATAGTTGGAGTATGTACTACAAGTTTTTGTGCTAGAACAATTTAGGGACAACAGATTTAAGATTTATAAAAGAAATGTTGGAAATGGTTTTAAAAACCAGTTTTTTAAAAACTGCAGCAAGGGTTTTATCACCAAATATCGTCGTTTCTTTAGTGGCAAGTTTTTGTTCTACAACAATTTTAGGGCAGTTTTAAGATTTATAAAAAAAATTGCTGGAAGTGGTTTTCAAAAACTGCAGGAAGGGTTTTTATCACCAAATATGGTCGATTCTTTAGTGGAATATTTGTAAAACAATAGTTGTAGTACTAAAAGTTTTTGTACTAGAACAATTTTGGGACAGTTTTAGGATTTATAAAAAATGCTGGAAATGGTTTAAAAACAGTTTTTTAAAAACTGCAGAAAGGATTTTTATCACCAAATATCGTCGATTCTTTAGTGGCAAGTTTTTGTTATAGACAGTTTTAATATTTATTAAAAAATTGCTGGAAGTGGTTTTCAAAAACTGCAGGAAGGGTTTTTATCACCAAATATGGTCGATTCTTTAGTGGAATATTTGTAAAACAATAGTTGTAGTACTAAAAGTTTTTGTACTAGAACAATTTTGGGACAGTTTTAAGATTTATAAAAAATGCTGGAAATGGTTTTAAAAAACAGTTTTTTAAAAACTGCAGAAAGGATTTTTATCACCAAATATCGTTGATTCTTTAGTGGCAAGTTTTTGTTATAGAACAATTTTAGGACAGTTTAAATATTTATAAAAAAATTGCTGAAAATGGTTTTAAAAAGCTGCAGGAAGGGTTTTTATCACCAAATATCGTCGATTCTTTAGTGGAATATTTGTAAAACAATAGTTGTAGTACTAAAAGTTTTTGTACTAGAACAATTTTGGGACAGTTTTAAGATTTATAAAAAATGCTGGAAATGGTTTTAAAAAACAGTTTTTTAAAAACTGCAGGAAGGGTTTTTATCACCAAATATCGCCGATTCTTTAGTGGAATTTCTGTGAAACAATTGGAGTACTAAAAGTTTTTGTACTAGAACAATTTTGGGACAGTTTTAAGATTTATAAAAAAATGCTGGAAATGGTTTTAAAAAACAGTTTTTTAAAAACCGCAGAAAGGATTTTTATCACCAAATATCGTCGATTCTTTAGTGGCAAGTTTTTGTTATAGAAAAATTTTAGGATAGTTTTAATATTTATAAAAAAATGTTGGAAATGGTTTTAAAAAACAGTTTTTTTAAAACTGCGAGAAGGGTTTTTATCACCAAATATCGTCGATTTTTTAGTGGCATATCTGTGAAACAATAGTTCTAGAAAAATTTTAGGACAGTTTTAAGATTTACAAAAATTAAGATTTATAAAAAAAATTGCTGGAAATGGAAACTGCATCACCGAATATCTTCAATTCTAAAAATATCACGTCGATCCGTAAGAAAAAAAGTAAAAAAACATCAAGGAAGTAAAAAAACAAAACAAAAAATCTAGGAGCTCTCTTACCTGCAGGTTCGTCCCTGCGGTCCGCCGCCTCCCTCTGTCCGCCCGCGGCGTGCATGGGCGGCCCGGGCGGCGACATCCACTGCGCCTGCGCCGCCCCCTCCCGGCTCGCCGGCGGCTGCGGGGGCGGCAGCTGCATCTGCGCGTGGTAGACGGCGGGCGGCACGCCGTAGCCGCCCGCCGCCGCCGCCCCCCGCCCGCCGTAGATGCCGTAGAACGGGGACGGCACCCCGTAGGACGGGTAGAGTTGCGGGTGCGGGGGCGGCGCGTGGTGGTGGTGGTGGTGGTAGGCGGAGAGGAAGGGGGCGGCGGCGGTCGCCGGCACCGGGTGGTGGGCGTGCGTGTACACGGGCGCCACCTGCGGCGGTCCGTGGTACTGCCGCTTGTCGACGTGGTGCTAAAATTAATTTTAAACATTTTTAAACACTATTCTTTTTTTAATTGTTAAATATATTTATCTACTCCTACATTGACTAGCTGTGACTTTATGGCGTTTTAGTCACGGGCTGAAGTTAGCTTTTTTTATAAATTAGAGAAAAGTGAGGTTAATTCCGTTGACATTTGACAGATGTCAAATGTTTAACAAATAAAATTGGATTTAAATTCTTCTTTGTGGTCGTCGTAGATAAGTATAGGGTGCAACTCGTTTTATAAACTTATCTAAACACTCGTTTTTATTAAACACTCGCTTGCAAGCTTCGCTCGTGCTTAATTAAACTCGTAACTAAAATGGCGTTTATAAAACTTGATACATAATATACTATTTATTTATTTTTTCAAACTTTTGACCATTGTCATTGCGTAGTAACTTTTTTAATTAATCCAATAAAGCAAAAAATTAGAATTTTTCCCACTAAAATTTGCGAATAGTTTAGTAAAAATTTATCCATTTAAAGTGTTTTTAAAGTTCTTAAATTCCTTTAAACATTCTGAAATGTTTTTTTAAATTTTAAATTGTTCTTTATTACTCCAAAAAGTGTTTTAACATTCTTGTTTTCTTTTAAATATTATTAGAAAATTTGACATTTTTACGTAGTTTGTTTTTAACATTCTTAAATTCTTTTAAACATTTTGAATTGTTTTTTATTACCTTAAAGAGTTGTTTTAACATTTTTATATTCTTTTATAGTTTATTAAAAAATTTGATATTTTTAACATTCTTAAATTCTTTTAAACATTCTGAAATGTTTGTTTTTACATTTTGAATTGTTTTTTTATAACTTTAAAGAGTTTTTTAACATTCTTATATTCCTTTAAATATTATTAGAGAATTTCATATTTTTGACATTCTTGAATTCTTTTAAACATTCTGAAATGTTTGTTTCTACATTTCGATTTTTTTCATTACTCTAAAAAGTGTTTTAAGACTCTTATATTCTTTTAAATATTATTAGAGAATTTGATGTAGTTTGTTTTTAGCATTCTTAAATACTTTTACTTTTTTACATTTTGATTTTTTTAGTACTATAAAAGGTGGTTTAACATTCTTATATTCTTTTATAGATTGCGAAATGTGTTTTTCACATATTGAATTGTTTTTTATTACTTTAAAAAGTGTTTTTAACATTCTTAAAGTCTTTTGAAGATTCTGAAATGTGTTTTAACATTCTTATATTCCTATAATTATTATTAAAAAAATTGACATTTTTAACAATCTTCAATTCTTTTAAACATTATGAAATGTTATTTTTACATTTTAAGTTTTTTTTTTATTACTATAAAAAGTGTTTTAACATTTTTATATTCTTTTAAATATTATTAGAGAATTTGACAATTTTTTAACATTCTGAAATGTTTGTTTTTACATTTTGAATTGTTTTTTATTACTATCTAAAGCTTTTTTAGCATTCTTATATTCTTTTATAGATTCCGAAATGTGTTTTTCACATTCTTATATTCCTTTAAATATTATTAGAGAATTTGACATTTTTAACATTCTCAAATTCTTTCAAACATACTAAAATGTTTGGTTTTACATTTTTGAAATGTGTTTGCGAATACTTATTTAAGTAAAAATTTGCGCATTTATCGTTGAAGTCCATTTTCAAAGACATTATTACCGAGCATTTGGACCATGAAGCCTACACAAGGGATACAAACTGCCTACTAAACCAACAAAATTAGGGTTTGTTTTTTCACCACTAGCGGCGCTGATTTCCATTTTGTACTGACGTCAGTATAAAATGGAAATCAGAGAACCAATTAATTGTTAATTAATGACGGATCTGAAAAAAAGCCCGAAAACTTAACCCACATCTTAACCTGTGAAAATGTGAAAATTTGAAAACAAGCAGCAGTATAATAATACAAACTTTTGGTACTCACCGAAAGTTCAATGGACCTCAACTTGTCGACGCTCTCGGAATACCAGCGATCGTCGGGCGGGGGCGGGGCCGGGGGCGGCGCGTAGTGCTGGGGCGGCGCGTAATGGTGCCCGGGCGACGCCTGCTGCTCCCTCTTGACGCCGACCGCCCCCCTGTCCTCGGCCAGCAGGGACGTTATGCTGTAGCTGCAGTTCCTGGCCGCCGCCGACGTCGCCGCCGCCGGGGGCGGTTTGCTCTCGTGCGAGGCCGCCGCCGCTTCGACGTTGCCGTTCGTTTTGGGCGGCGACTGCCGCTGCGGGCTGTCCGAGTTGCCGGGGGCGGCGGCGGGGGCGGTCGATTTGAGGGGCGTGGTGGGGGCGGGCGGGGTGCGGCACGGCGTCGTCGCCGTCTGGGGGCGGCTTCGGCTGCGCTTCAGGCAGCCGTCGTCCGGCTGGGAGCGGTCCTTTTCCATTTCGCGCAGGAAGCGCTTGCGCGGCGACACGACCGTCTCCGAGCGCGGGGGAGTGCTGGAGAATGCAAGAAAATGTATTTTTTAAACACTATTCAGCATTCTGAATTGTTTTTTATAACTTTAAAAGTCTTTTCTACTTCTTAAAATTGTTTTTATTACTTTAAAAAGTGTTTAAACATTCTTATATTGTTTTAAATATTATTAGAGAATTTGACATTTACATTTTGAAATGTTTCTTATTTTTCCATTTTGAATTATTTTTGTTTTTTACGTTTTAAATTTTTTTTATTACTCAAAAAAGTGTTTTAACATTCTTATACTCTTTTAAATATTATTGGAGTATTTGAAATTTTTACGTAGTTTGTTTTTAGCATTCTTAATTTTTTTTTACATTATTTTAATCTAATGAGGTTTTTAACATTCTAATATTTTTTTTATAATAATAATAATAGTTTATTAATGACAGAATTATAACAAAAAATGGCAGAATATGACGGGTCAAAAAGATAAATTGTATACTAAAATAGATTCCAAAATGTGTTTTTCACCTTTTGAATTGTTTTTTATTTCTTTAAAAGCATTTTTAACATTCTAATAAACTTTTAAAGATTATGTAATGTGTTTTTTACTTTTTAAATTGTTTTTTATTACTCTAAAAAGTGTTTTAAAATTCTTATATTGTTTTAATAAATTATTGGAGAATTTAACATTTTTAATTTGTTTTTAACATTCTTAATCTGTTTAATACATTTTGAAATGTGTTTTAACATTTTGGGTTTGTTTTCAACATTCTGAAATGTGTTTTACATTTTAAATTGTTTTTTGTTTTAAAAATGTTTTAACATTCTTATATTCTTTTAATATTATTGGATAATTTGACATTTTTACGTAGTTTGTTTTTAGCATTCTTAAAATTTATTTAAACATTATAAAATGTTTTTTTTTACATTTTCAATTGTTTTTTATTAATCTAATGAGTTTTTAAAATTCTTAAATTTTTTTTTATAGATTTCAAAATTTGTTTTTTTTTCACATTTTGAATTGTTTTTATTACTTTTATAACTTTAACATTCTTATAGTATTTTATCTATTTTGGTTTCATAATGACTTCATTATAACACCGCTTTTGGTTCTTTAATGAGGTACTTTATTCCACCCAAAATTTTGATTTTATAGGTTGGCTACTGGTAAAATACAATTTTGAATACCTATAGGTTATAATATTTTTATGATTTGTTTTCTAGTACTTACGAGACTTTTCGTGCAATAAATTTTGTTTAACACCAAAGAAAATCCTTTTTTCTTCTTTAACAGCCGCTTATTGTAAATACTTATTGTAAATTAACGACGCCATAGCGAAAGAATGTGATAATGTTTGAAAGGTTAATGTCCCTTCAAACTTCAAAATGTGATACCAACTATGTAAAGTAAAATTCCACCAAATTAAATATAAGGTATAAAATTAATTTGTTTTATGAAATGTTTGCAAAATAGATAAAATAGCATAAAGAACTCATGTCATAAGACCTTTTGTCGCACTTGTCCATTATAAAACTCGCTCCTTCGTCGCTCGTTTTATAAATTGTCCGCGTGCGACAAAATGACGTCTTATGACATTAGTTCTTTAATATACTATTAAAGAGTCTGTTATGTGTTTTTTACTTTAATAAATTGTTTTAATATTAATATTAAAATTTTTTTTAACATTTTTAACATTCTTAAATTCTTTTAAATATTCTGAAATGTTTGTTTTTACTTTTTCAATTGTTTTTTTTTACTCCAAAGAGTTTTTTAACATTTTTATATTCTTTTATAGATTCTGAAATGAGTTTTTCACTTTTTAAATTGTTTTTTATTACTCTAAAAAGGGTTTTAACATTCTAATATTGTTTTAATAAATTATTTGAGAATTTGACATTTTTAGTTTGTTTTAACATTGTTAAATTGTTTAAAACATTTTAAAATGCTTTTTACTACCCTAAAAAGCTTTTTATTACTCTAAAAAGTGTTTTAACATTTTTATAATGTTTTAATATTTGACATTTTTGGTTTGTTTTCAACATTTTTAAATTCTTTAAAATATTCTGAAATGTGAATTGTTTTTTGTTACTCAAAAAAGTGTTTTAACATTCTTATATTCTTTAAATATTATTGGAGAATTTGACATTTTTACGTAGTGTGTTTTTAGCATTCTAAAATTGTTTTTTATTAATCTAATGAGTTTTTAACATTCTTAATTTTTTTTATAGATTCCAAAATTTGTTTTTTTCACATTTTGAATTGTTTTTATTACCTTTATCACTTTAACATTCTTATAATAATAATAATAATAATAAATATCTTTATTGAATATAAATAATATTTATAGTCTTTTAAAAAGTCTGTAATGTGTCTTTTATTTTTTTATTGTTTTTTTATAACTCCAAAAAGTGTTTTAACATTAATATTAGAGAATTTAACATTTTTAACATTCTTAAATTCTTTTATACATTATTCCAAAATGTCTTTTTACATTTTTAAATGTTTTTATTACTCTAAAAAGTTTATTACTCTAAAAAATTTTTTATTACTCTAAAAAGTATTTTAACATTTTTATATTGTTTTAATAGAATTTGATATTTTTAATTACTTTAAAACATTCTGAAATGTGTTTTACCTTTTGAATTGTTTTTTGTTACTCAAAAAAGTGTTTTAACATTCTTATATTCTTTAAATATTATTGAAGAATTTGACATTTTTACGTAGTTTGTTTTTAGCATTCCTAAATTGTTTTAACCATTCTGAAATGTTTTTTTTTTAATTTTGAATTGTTTTTTATTAATTTAATGAGTTTTTTAACATTCTCGTATTTTTTATAGATTCCAAAATGTGTTTTTTACCTTTTGAATTGTTTTTTATTACTTTAAAAAGTGTTTTTAACATTCTTATAGTCTTATAAAGATTCAGAAGTCTTTTTTATTTTTTTAAACTGTTTTTTATTACTCTAAAAAATGTTTTAATATTTTTTTAAATATTATTAAAGAATTTGATATTTTTGGTTTGTTTATAACATTCTTAAATTCTTCAAAACATTCTGAAATGTTTTTTATTGGTCTAAAACATATTTTCAACATTGTTATATTTTTTTAGTGAGAGTTTAGTTATTTACAACCTTACATTAGATTTTATGATTGGGTAAATATCTTTTTGGCATTTTTCTCACCTGGTCCTTGAAATCTTCTCGCTGAGATTCTGCACGATGATGAGCAGATGCGCGCCCCTCGCCATCGGCTCCTTGGGCGGCCGCGCCGTCGCCCTGTTGCCAGCTCTACCTTCGCAAGCGGCCGCTTCCGGTTCGGTCGAGTACGGGCGACGTCGCTTCCGGCTGCGGCGCCCGCGGCGCCCTCTTCTGCCGCCCGGCGCCCGCCAGAACCACATCGTCATTTCCTTCGACTGGTTGCGACGCGGCGACGTCTGCTTCCAGCTGTGGTCGCGTTGCCACGGCGACGACTGCACCGAACTGTTGTCGTCTGACACTAAAAATATCAAGTCGCAATGTGTCATATTCAGTTGTTTTATTTTAGTTTAGAAAAAGTTATTTCTATAAGCAAAGGAGTCTTGATATTTTTAGGTGGTTTTGACATTTTAAAGTAAGTTTGGCATTCTTATTGTCTTGACATTTGTTTATTTTATGTAAAGTTTTACATTTTTAAAATTTTTGTTGGCATTTAAATATTTTTTTTGAAAAAACAAACAAATTACAAAATTACAAATTGTATTTTTTATGTTTTGTTTATGTTTGAATTCCAATAACTTTGTTAAAAATTATCGGATCTTATTGATTTAACAATCAAGTGAAAGCCTAACAAGCCCTTAGTAAACTCTTTCAGAAAATGTTTGTTTAGTTATTTCAGAATATTTTTTTTTTAATTTTGAAACTTGTGAAACACACATTTTCGAATGTCCCATTAGCGTTTTATAACACTTACATACATGTTTTTTTAATATTGAATAACCAGAACTTTGTGTTGCTTTATAGCAATCCACAACATCCTTAGTTAATACAGTAAACAATTTATATATAAAATAATTAATTTTAATATACTTTTTTTAAATTTGACTCATTTCCCAGACATTTTTTCCGTTGCGTTACGCCGGTCGCGTTACCGATGGAATATTAAAAAAAACATATATATGGCAACTTTTTTTGCGCCCACGTGATCAAAAAATGATGTTCGGACGTACACATTACCCAGCTGAATTTATTTATTCAATCAGGAAGAAGATATCGGTTGAAACAGGTGCGGGTAACGCGAATGTAATAATTGTTTGTCCGCTAAGTTTACTAATAATAAAAATAAGGTAAGAAAAAACACTATTTTTCATGTTTATGTTTATTTTAGGGCACCAAAGCTCATTGAGAGTAATTAATGACTGTAATGTCTTATTATTATTTTTTAAATATGGTTTTACAAAACTTTGTCCACTGCGTTACCGAGTCCACTATGTTACCTTATGGTAAAGCAATGGAATTTAGGGTAACGCAATAGAATTTTTCGACAACAAAGTGGATATTTACCGTCGCTTTTATTAAAAGTAGTTTATGATAAACCAATTTAAAATTATTTGTGATTACAACTCATGATATAGATTACATCCAAGGGAAAATTCCACGCAATATACAAGTACTAAAAGGGACCTTCACCAGCTTATAGTCAAAGAAAAAGGGTGTCTACAATTTAGAAATCTAAATTTTTATTCTGCAAGTGAGCACCACTACAAGGGATTTTGTTTATGCATTACTCTAAAATCGTACCACCCTATATAGTTTCTTTTTTACGTTATCTGATTAAGTCCTTTGTGTACCCCTGTCCGTTGTGATACCAATGTCTATTTCGTTACTTTTTTTAGTTTAAAAAAAAAAATACTTAAAATGATTTTTATACACTATCACTTGGTAATACGTGTTTATAAATTAGAGTTTAACTCACTAATACAGTGACTAAAAGAAAATATTAATGGTATTGTTTTTTTAACAAAGAATCGGAATGGTTTCTTTTAAAAAGTAACTCAACTAACATAAATATTTAAAAAAGGCATACAATTTTTAATAAAAAATAAAATTGGAGTCACAAGTTTGTGAACTGAGTACATTTTATTTCAAATTATTTTTATAACAACTTTTTTTATTGAATTAAATTTTGGATTTCAAAGTAACACAGTGGAGATATATAAAGCTATCTAAACACATTTTTCTGAAAAAAAAACGTAAAAAAATTAAAAAGTGCACTGCCTGTCTTAAATGTAAGTAAACAAAACTCTAAACATTTATAAAAATCCAACCAAAAGTCAATTTAAGCAAAAAAAAATTGATCTTCATTTTCCTGAATGCGAGTGTTTCTTGAAAATGACCCATTTAATTATTTTTATTACAAAACAAACAATTATGTTTTTATTAAAGTCTTGATATTTTTAGGTGTTTTTGACATAATTTGTTTATTTTATGTAAACTTTTACATTTTTATAATTTTTGTTAGCATTTAATTATTTTTATTAAAAAACAAATTACAAAATTAAATTTTTTAAGTACAAAATTACAAACAAACTGTATTTTTATATTTTGTAAAAGTCTTTAGCAAAAAAGTCTTGATATTTTTAGGTGGTTTTGACATTTTAAAGTAAATTTGGCATTCTTCTTGTATTGACATTTGTTTATTTTATGTTAAATTTTATATTCTTAAAATTGTTTTTAGCATTTAATTATTTTTATTACAAAACAAACAATTTACAAAGAAATTGTACTTTTTATGTTTTGTAAAAGTATTGTTAAAAGGTAAGGCAAAAAATAACCATCAGCAATTCACTTATTAAAATCATTTCTGTTCTGTTAACCTTAGAACTGCGCGCTTCACAAAATACGAGCCATTGTTTAAGGTCTGTTAAATCTTCCCGTATTGTTCTTTTGCCATCTTACCGGATAATAACTTCTGCATGTGCAGCGAGGCAAAACGGCGCGTGCTACAACACCGGAAGTCCATTACATCCACGTAATAGCCGCAGTTTTGTTTTTAACACTATACGCGCATTTTTTGAATTTCAAGTTTCAGCCCTTTCGACTGATAATAAATTAATGGCGTAGTTAAATTTTTTCTGACCTATACTTTTTATGGTTTTATTCAAGGCGTTTTGTAATATTAAACATTTCTGTGAAATCAGAATTTCAATTGAGTTTACCGTTTTCGAGATATTTACAAAAAATATAAATTTTTATGACGTCACAAACCTCGCCATGTGACCAACATTCTAAAATTTCTATTGGTTGAAAATTACCCTGTTGTCAAGTTGTCTTGTTAATGATTTCATTCGGTTATGTCAGAAAATACCCGAAGAGGTTATGTACAAATACTGTCACTGTCAGTTGAGTGAAAGATGGTCACCAAATTCATTAAGTACCTATCTTCCTTATTACGAGGTATCATATTACTGTTCGATATTTTAGAGTCCAAGATATATCTAAAAGAATATAAAGAACTAGGCATTATACTAATGAAATGCATTTACAACAAAATATGATTATAATTATAGGTACTTACTTTATTTGTTTAAAAGCTCCAATGTTCAATGTAACCAACCATTCCACAAGATTCCTCTGCTTTGGAGTCCGTTATTAATAAATCACTTATCAATTACAAATAACATAACAATAACATTGATTTTCAATAATCTAAATTAAAAAAAAACATAACCCGAAAAAAGAAACGTCAAAAAATCAATTCTTCTTCTTCTTCTCAACTAAAATTATAGATCAAGTGGTTTTAAAACTAAAATATTATAACGTGGCGTCATCTATCGTAAGAATCTTAAACTTAACACACTGGCAACCATAGAAAAAGCTGGCAACGTTGTCAATAGCCTAGTGACGTAATTAGGAGATTTTTTTTTGTAAATATCTCGAAAACGGTAAACTCAATTGAAATTCCGATTTCACAGAAATGTTTAAAATTACAAAACGCCTTGAATAAAACCATAAAAAGTATAGGTCAGAAAAAATTTAACTACCCCATTAGTTTTCAAGCACTTACCGCTAAGAGATGTGCTGCTTTCCTGCCTGTAGGTGGGGGTGGAGGCGGCGGTACCTTGGGGCGGCCAAAAAGTTTTTCTTGGCACCGAAACCCAAGATACTCTTTCGCCCTCTCTGGCTCTTTCCAGTTCCAAAATGAATTTTCCATCTAAAACAAAATAAAAAAATTTTATCCTGAAAATAGCGAACTAATCGTATAAAAAAATTACAAAATAGCTATTTTAATGTTTTGAGATTATTTATTATGAGGCGCCGTTTGTGTCAAAATTAAAAGTGCTAAATAAACTTATTTTGTTTTATAAATAATTAATTATATGCTTTATAAAATTATTATTACTTTTGATTCGCAGAAAATTATTTTATAAAGAAATAATTTTATAAAAAAAAATAATTTTATAAAAAAAATTATTTTATAAAAAAAATATTTTATAAAAAAAAATTATTTTATAAAAAAAAAATATTTTATAAAAAAAAATTATTTTATAAAAAAATAATTTTATAAAAAAAATTATTTTATAAAAGACGACGGGCGCATTTATAAATTAATTTTTACAGCAGCCATCTCTCTTTGTTTGTAGACACTCGAGTAAACCCGAGTGAACCCGAACGTCCTTCCCCAGATACAATTTTATGACGGACTCGGCTTTTGTTTGACGCAATTTGGGGAAACGATTGAAAATAATAATTTATTATTTTTATTAATTGATTAATTAATTTTTTTATCTACATTTATTTTGATTTTTAGTTTTTAACAAGAATTCTTTATGTTTAAACGTTTTTTATAAGAAAGCACTTTTAGTTAAATGCAAAACAAATAATGATTTACACCTTTATCTAATAATTAACTGTTAAAATTGATTACCTTACATTTTAAATATCTAAATTTTTAAAAGTAAATTAACTTAACCTTTAATTCGACAGCTGAGTCCCCGGGACTCGCATGCGAATTTAGTTGGCGCCTAAAGCCTAAAGATTGCCTTCCTCCTTTCTCCCTTCCTCCCGTAAAAGATGAACAATACGATCACCGTAGTGCTGTTTATAGATTTTAACAGTTAATTATTAGTTAAAGGTGTAAATCATTATTTGTTTTGCATTTAACTAGAAGTGCTTTCTTATAAAAAACGCATATACCTATAATTATAGGTATATGAAAAAACGTTTAACATAAAGAATTCTTGTTAAAAACTAAAAATCAAAATAAATGTAGATGAAAAAATTAATTAATTAATTAATAAAAATAATAAATTATTATTTTCAATCGTTTCCCCAAATTGCGTTAAACAAAAGCCCAGTCCGTCATAAAATTGTATCTGGGGAGGGGCGTTCAGGTTCACTCGGGTTTACTCGAGTATCTACAAACAAAGAGAGATGGCTGCAGTAAAAATTAATTTATAAATGCACCCGTCGTCTTTTATAAAATAATTTTTTTTTATAAAATAATTTTTTTATAAAATAATTTTTTTATAAAATAATTTTTTTTTTATAAAATTATTTCTTTATAAAATTATTTTTTTATAAAATAATTTTTTTATAAAATAATTTTTTTTATAAAATAATTTTTTTTTTTATAAAATTATTTCTTTATAAAATAATTTTTTTTTATAAAATTATTTTTTTATAAAATAATTTTTTTATAAAATAATTTTTTTTTATAAAATTATTTCTTTATAAAATTATTTTTTTATAAAATAATTTTTTTATAAAATTATTTTTTTATAAAATAATTTTTTTATGAAATAATTTTTATTTATAAAATCATTTTTTTTATAAAATAATTTTTTTTTATAAAATTATTTTTTTTTATAAAATAATTTTTTTTTATAAAATTATTTCTTTATAAAATTATTTTTTTATAAAATAACTTTTTTTATAAAATTATTTTTTTTTATAAAATTATTTCTTTATAAAATTATTTTTTTATAAAATAATTTTTTTATAAAATTATTTCTTTATAAAATAATTTTTTTATAAAATAATTTTTATTTATAAAATTATTTTTTTATAAAATAATTTTCTGCGAATGAAAAATTATTTTATAAAAGACGACGGGCGCATTTATAAATTAATTTTTACAGCAGCCATCTCTCTTTGTTTGTAGACACTCGAGTAAACCCGAGTGAACCCGAACGTCCTTCCCCATGGGGAATCTGTATCTGCAGATACAATTTTATGACGGACTGTGCTTTTGTTTGACGCAATTTGGGGAAACGATTGAAAATAATATTTTATTATTTTTATTAATTAATTAATTAATTTTTTCATCTACATTTATTTTGATTTTTAGTTTTTAACAAGAATTCTTTATGTTTAAACGTTTTTTCATATACCTATAATTATAGGTATATGCTTTTTTTTTAAGAAAGCACTTCTAGTTAAATGCAAAACAAATAATGATTTACACCTTTAACTAATAATTAACTGTTAAAATCTATAAACAGCACTACGGTGATCGTATTGTTCATCTTTTACGGGAGGAAGTCCCGGGGACTCAGGTGTCGGTTAAGTTAATTTACTTTTAAAAATTTAGATATTTAAAATGTAAGGTAATCAATTTTAACAGTTAATTATTAGATAAAGGTGTAAATCATTATTTGTTTTGCATTTAACTAAAAGTGCTTTCTTATAAAAAACGTTTAAACATAAAGAATTCTTGTTAAAAACTAAAAATCAAAATAAATGTAGATAAAAAAATTAATTAATCAATTAATAAAAATAATAAATTATTATTTTCAATCGTTTCCCCAAATTGCGTCAAACAAAAGCCGAGTCCGTCATAAAATTGTATCTGGGGAAGGACGTTCGGGTTCACTCGGGTTTACTCGAGTGTCTACAAACAAAGAGAGATGGCTGCTGTAAAAATTAATTTATAAATGCGCCCGTCGTCTTTTATAAAATAATTTTTTTTATAAAATTATTTTTTTTATAAAATAATTTTTTTTTATAAAATATTTTTTCTTTATAAAATAATTTTTTTATAAAATAACTTTTTTTTATAAAATTATTTTTTTATAAAATAATTTTCTACGAATCAAAAGTAATAATAATTTTATAAAGCATATAATTAATTATTTATAAAACAAAATAAGTTTATTTAGCACTTTTAATTTTGACACAAACGGCGCCTCATAATTTATTATTTATTTTAGAAAATAAAAAGTTAATATTAAAGAATGTCCAAAATATTCTTAAATGTATATGTTTTTTATGAGGCGCCGTTTGTGTCAAAATTAAAAGTGCTAAATAAACTTATTTTGTTTTATAAATAATTAATTATATGCTTTATAAAATTATTATTACTTTTGATTCGCAGAAAATTATTTTATAAAAAAATAATTTTATAAAAAAAAATTATTTTATAAAAAAATTATTTTATAAAAAAGTAATTTTATAAAAAAAAATGATTTTATAAAAAAAAATTATTTTATAAAAAAAATTATTTTATAAAAAAATAATTTTATTAAAAAAAATTATTTTATAAAAAAAAATATTTTATAAAAAAAAATTATTTTATAAAAAAATAATTTTATAAAAAAAAATTATTTTATAAAAGACGACGGGCGCATTTATAAATTAATTTTTACTGCAGCCATCTCTCTTTGTTTGTAGACACTCGAGTAAACCCGAGTGAACCCGAACGCCCTTCCCCAGATACAATTTTATGACGGACTCGGCTTTTGTTTGACGCAATTTGGGGAAACGATTGAAAATAATAATTTATTATTTTTATTAATTGATTAATTAATTTTTTTATCTACATTTATTTTGATTTTTAGTTTTTAACAAGAATTCTTTATGTTTAAACGTTTTTTATAAGAAAGCACTTTAGTTAAATGCAAAACAAATAATGATTTACACCTCGGCCATTCCAAGCCCATGGACAGGACACATCAGAAACATGTCTAAATATATTCTTCTTAGTAACAAGAATATATTTAGACATGTTTCTGATGTGTCCTGTCCATGGGCTTGGAATGGCCGACCTTTATCTAATAATTAACTGTTAAAATTGATTACTTTACATTTTAAATATCTAAATTTTTAAAAGTAAATTAACTTAACCTTTAATTCGACACCTGAGTCCCCGGGACTCGCATGCGAAAAGCCTAATTTAAAGATTGCCTTCCTCCTTTCTCCCTTCCTCCCGTAAAAGATGAACAATACGATCACCGTAGTGCTGTTTATAGATTTTAACAGTTAATTATTAGTTAAAGGTGTAAATCATTATTTGTTTTGCATTTAACTAGAAGTGCTTTCTTATAAAAAACGCATATACCTATAATTATAGGTATATGAAAAAACGTTTAAACATAAAGAATCTAAAAATCAAAATAAATGTAGATGAAAAAATTAATTAATTAATTAATAAAAATAATAAATTATTATTTTCAATCGTTTCCCCAAATTGCGTTAAACAAAAGCCCAGTCCGTCATAAAATTGTATCTGGGAAGGGGCGTTCGGGTTCACTCGGGTTTACTCGAGTGTCTACAAACAGCAGTAAAAATTAATTTATAAATGCACCCGTGGTCTTTTATAAAATAATTTTTTTTTATAAAATTATTTTTCTATAAAATAATTTTTTTTTATAAAATAATTTTTTTTTATAAAATTATTTCTTTATAAAATTTTCTTTTTTTATAAAATTATTTTTTTATAAAATAATTTTTTTTATAAAATAATTTTTTTTTATAAAATTATTTTTTTACAAAATAATTTTTTTTATAAAATTATTTCTTTATAAAATAATTTTTTTTTATAAAATTATTTTTTTTTAAATAATTTTTTTTATAAAATAATTTTTTTTTATAAAATTATTTTTTTATAAAATAATATTTTTTTATAAAATAATTTTTTTTTTTATAAAATTATTTCTTTATAAATAATTTTATAAAAAAAATTATTTTATAAAGAAATAATTTTATAAAAAAAAAATATTTTATAAAAAAAATTATTTTATAAAAAAAAATTATTTTATAAAGAAATAATTTTATAAAAAAAAAATATTTTATAAAAAAAATTATTTTATAAAAAAAAATTATTTTATAAAGAAATAATTTTATAAAAAAAAATTATTTTATAAAAAAAATTATTTTATAAAAAAATAATTTTATAAAAAAAAATTATTTTATAAAAAAATAATTTTATAAAAA